CAAATGACTGTTGACCGCATATAATATACAGCAGATAACAACATAAAGCCTTCTGCCTTGGATAGCTAGACTTTATTAAAGGTGACCTGCACAGTAAAAATGCAATTCACCTCTGTTTGTTAGGGTGCAGTGGGCTTTCCATTTATATAAACAAATCTGCATCACCTCATCTCATCTATAAACAGCATTTCTATTCAGCGTGGCTTTACACTCCAGAGGGCTGCATGAACTGAATGCAAAGGCATCATTGAGACAGACAATAATCCCATAAAAAAAGAAAAACTTTGATGAAAAAAAAATGCACTGACTTTCATGATGAGTGTGACTCAGTCATTGTCAGGTTCTTCCAGGCACACAATGTTTCATTATAGTTTAAAATAAATCCTCAATTCTCATGCTTCCTGTTGCTTTTTTTTTGCTTTCTATAGTGGCTGTACTGGCACATAGGAACAAGTAATAAAGATCTGTTAATGTAGTAAAATATTATATTCATATATTCTAAAATGTATGAGGAAACAAATAAGCAAAATTATCAAATTTCAAGTACTGATAAAGATGCAACCTGAAAATTTGAGAAAAATGCAACTAACCGTGTTTATATCTCTCTCTCTCTATATATATATATATAGATAGATAGATAGATAGATAGATAGATAGATAGATAGATAGATAGATAGATAGATAGATAGATAGATAGATATAGATAGATAGATAGATAGATAGATATAGATAGATAGATAGATAGATAGATAGATAGATAGATAGATAGATAGATAGATAGATAGATAGATAGATAGATAGATAGATAGATAGATAGATAGATAGATAGATAGATAGATAGATAGATAGATATATAGATATATAGATAGATATATAGATATAAACACGGTTAGTAAGTTTGTTTGTGGATATATATATATATATATATATATATATATATATATATATATATATATATATATATATATATATATATATATATATATATATATATATTAGTCAGTCTCATGTGAATGTAAGGTCAGAAATACAGAGGATTATGTCACAGAAATTCACTTTACTTGCTGCAACAAATCAAACTGAGCTTTTTGACCCAGTTATAATTTCTGCTTTTGATCATGACAAGGACTGTATCAAATTATTTGTAATACTTCTTCATTCTAATACATCTGCGCATACTTTTCTGTACATCAGCTTCAGAATAAAACATAGCTTCTAACTGCAGCTAATTATTGCTTTTGGATGTAGGCAGATAAGCTTCCCCAGAGGGAAATAGTTACCTTACAACAGCATCAATAAAGACTCTTAAAGCAGACAGAAGACAACTAACAATAAAAATATTTGCATGTATTCATATGGAAATACTGTGTATGTATGCAAGTTTAGTTGTTACTGTTTTTTTCTTGTAGTCAGCATTCTTTTGACACACTGCTTGTTTCTCTACAGGAACTCTATCTTGTCTTTTTTGATTTCACAACTTAGACTCAACATGTTAAAAATGAAGACTAAATCTGCTCATAAAAGGGTTCAGGCCGTACCTTCAGTTTGGACTTATGTATCTGTTAAAACACTGAGGTGAAAGACATTTAGATCTCCTGTGTTTTTGTTCAGGACACTAAATGTGGGCGAGAAACCGGAGGCTCAGTGCATCAGCCACTGCAACTGCTTCACCTCGTCCATCAGCCCGGTGTGCGGCTCCAACGAGGTTACCTACCTGTCTGCCTGCTTCGCCGGCTGCACCCGGACTGGAGCGTCTCACACCGCATCAAACATTTCACAGGTGTTTACCACTGCTGTACAAGTTAAACATATTCCCATGTGCTGTTGTATTTATGAAGGGGGTTTGTGGAACAAGAAGTACTCATATCATTTTTATATGCTCTTGCTCCGAGTATGGAATGTCCATTGGGAAAATGTGTGTGGAATTCCCACACTATTTTGTTCTGCTAAATTGGCCGTGGTTTCACAGTCTTGTTTTATTCACACATTCCTTCATGTTTGAGCATCAAATGACTGTTCTTGAGTTTCCACAAGTGGTTGGATAGTTGTTAGGCAAATTAATCGGAAACTGGATCAAGCTGTGAGTTTCATTTTTTAGTTCCAAGCATCCAATACTTGAAGTGAAACTCTGCGGCACTCTGGCTATTTTTGTGAAAAAAATATATACATTTCTAACTATTACAAGTTTATCGTGACTTAGCTCAAAGCAAAGGCAGACTCTTTGCCAACGGTTGGCTACAGCAAAGTAAATAGGGGTATAAAGAATGCACCTCTCTATTATTAATACCCAGACCTCACAAAAACAGATGTCTGTGTGTAACAACGTGAAAATCACCTCCACAAAAAACACCAAGCAGTTAGCAGGGTGTGTGATATAACATTAAACCTCCAAGGTTAAATGTTATATCCTTTTTCTGCTTGTAGTGGCTAAGATTTGCCCTCCCTTCAAAAATGAAGGTATTTGAAATTATTATGTGCCTTGGAAGAATTGGAAATTGTGGGCATTGCTCCAAAGTTGATTAAATGATGCAATTTTGTTTTTCCTGGTTCCTTTGGTTATGAGTATGTTTTTAATTCTGATTTCCAAAAGTGAATGTAGATCTACAGCCCTGAGCTGTTTACATTTTTTTTTTCTTTCTTTTCATCTTTACAGAACCTGACTAGCTGCACCTGTATATCTTCCAAAAATGGTCCTGGCACTGCTACTCCCGGGAAATGTCCATTGCCAGGTTGCCAGGAGGTTTTCCTCATCTTCCTGAGTGTGATATGTGTCTGCAGCCTCGTGGGAGCCATGGCCCAGACTCCCTCTGTCATTGTGCTGATCAGGTAAAATTTGCTGTTCAATTTGCTGTGTTGGCTGAATACATCAATCAAAAGTACCTTTGAGAAATTAACATGTTTTCTTTTTTTTTTTTTTTGTCTGCTTCCCTTCAAGGACTGTGAGTCCTGAACTGAAATCATACGCTCTAGGACTGTTGTTCCTTCTGTTACGACTCCTCGGTAAGAATTGACAGCAGAAGAATTGATCAGACCGTCTTGCCCTGGCTTCCTTACTTTTTTGTTTTTATATTAAGAGAAAGTCAAGTCGTTTTCCCAAAGGGAACAACTGCTAATGTTGTTGAGGTCCAGTTCAATGTTGGAATGCAGATTTCCAAAAACATACTGCATGTGATGTTAAGCTTGACCTTTTTCCAAAATATGATATTTACTTTTGTGCAATTCAACTGCAGAACAAGCAAATTTGTAAGAAGGAGAAGTATAAAAAATAAAAATGGTTGAATAATCTTGTTGCATTATCTGACTGGTAGCTGCTGCTATTTTTCATGTCGGCAGATTTCATAACGCTGTTTGGTGTTTCTGTTTCCCAGGATTCATCCCTCCTCCTCTGATCTTCGGCACCGGGATCGACTCCACCTGCCTCTTCTGGAGCTCTGACTGTGGCGACAAAGGCGCCTGCCTTCTCTACGACAACGTGCAGTACAGGCACCTCTATGTGAGCCTTGCCATCATCCTCAAGGCTGTGGCCTTCCTGCTCTACACCACCACGTGGTACTGCCTGCGGAGGAACTACAAGAAATACATCAAAGGAAACGAGGGCAACCTGACGGCAACCGAGTTTTACCCGTCCCTCAGTGACGGGCCCAAATCCGTGGACAGGACAAAGTTTATATACAACCTGGAGGACCACGAGTTTTGTGAAAATATGGAGTCTGTTTTGTAAGAATTTTTGCTTCGTCTGTTGAAACAGTAAAAGGCCATACGGGTCTGAGGTGCACTCCAGACCTCAGACGGTCCATTCTAGTTTTTTGAAACCGTGAGGTGTTGTCAGTGAATTCCCGCGGTGACTGTGCTAGAAGACGACTCCACAGCCCTCGCTGGGAGTTTACTAGTGCATGGATGAGATGCTACCACGGCTATAGTTGCCATATTGCTTAGGTCTTTCATGACCAAACTAACCTGGTTTCCTTCAGTCAGCACAGTGTTCTGTTTGTTACTCTAAAAAGAAAAAAAAAAAAAAGATTTTGAAGTAAAATAAAAAATGTTTTCTTCAGATGTTTAAAAGTTGCCAAGTGTTTACAAACTAATAGCTGATGAGTCACTGTACTTTACTTCAGAACCGGAGAGATGCACCTGGACCAGACTGGACCGGGTTATTATAGTGGCCTGATAGATGTTTGGTTTTCATTTTTCTTGCTGGATCAATAAAATAAACTGTTTTTAATACTTGCTTGGACTAGACTGTAAAGTCTTGCCACATAGGTGCAATTCAGATCCAATTTATTTGTATTCTTAACTTTAGCCTTTTTTTTTTCAGGACTGCAGGGTTTTTTTCACTGTAGCAGTTTGTTTCATTTTAATTTGCAGAGTGTATTCAGCCTAATTTGTCTTAAAAGGGATTCAACATATATATATAAATAATTAAATATTGTTTTCTCTCTATATATATACATATATAAATAAATATATATTGTTTTCTGCACCCAGTGGAGATGCAGAGAAAAAAATCTATAGTGATTATTTTATACGTTTCAGAATATGTATTAAGATTAGGAATCATGTGATTGGTTCATTAGGCCAAGGATGTTTTATTAGATCATATGTGAGCTAAGAGCTAATAATTACATTTTTGTGATGTGTCTGTCTTATGTCACAAATGATTTCTGAATATTTATATTGAGAATTAAAGTACAGTTCACTATTGTGAACAAAAAGTGTTCACACTCAGCCTGTAGTATTTAGCATAAAAACTGCAGAAACAATTCTATGGAATTGGCTCAAAATGAATGGTGAGCTTATATTTAAACCTAACACAGCACTTCAGTTCACTCCATTAGTCTCTTTGCAGTTACCGTTTTGTCCCTTTCTTACACTTTTTGTATGGCAACATATCATTTATTTTACTCTGGAAATAAATTATTTTTCAGAAAATTCCATCAAACTTGAATGTTTTGTTTATTTATAAAAAGCAGTCAGCGTTTCACTGAATCAAATCATTTTTAAAAAACAACACTTAGAAAAATCTTGTAAGAACCCTTGAGGTAATAGAAAGAGGAAACAATGCATTATAAAGATCCATTACATAAGGAGTGAGTGTGCTTAGTAATGTGTGCATTGGGCTACGGTGTTGATAAAATCTTCAAACACTGCTGAAGGTAAGCTACTATCATACAGTAATGGAAGCTTTAAAAAAACAATGGTTATGAAATGTGAATTTAAAAATGAATTATAAGATTTTACTTTTAATACAGTTTTTGTTAAAGAAATTTGTGAAGGGAAAATTTTTAAAAGACAAATGTTGCAGTAGGGTTCAATATTGATTATAGCAAGTTTGTTTAATTTATTCAAATTTAGCAGCAAAATTGAACTATCCCCATACTAAATTATATATCAATGTTTATTTTTTTAAGGCAGCCTAACTCTGATCTATGACTGCCAGTATTTGGTAGATAGACCTGAGTCATATCATGAGAAACATTCCCATTTCATGTTTGTGTCCCTTGAATTCAGAGTGTGGTGATTGTCTGGTTGCTTTTTGACCCCAAAAGAAATCTTGCTTTCCTTTTGTATTCAACCATTTCCTGAAGCCAGTCAGTGTGGCTTTCAATTTTAACGCTTATCATTTAATTATTAACTCTGATATTAACTTTGCCTCTCCAGCCATGCTTTGACCAATTGGTATAGTAGTTTTCTGTTTTCTTCTATACATTTCTGGGACTGTTTTCCATGTTAATGCAATTGATGTCATTTTAGATGAGCAGACTCAAGTTTCTCCCTCTGCAATCAACCTTTTAGTCAAAGTTTGCTGTTCATCTGGATAACATCTGGAGTAATGCACTAGAACCAGCATGTACAATATTGGCAGTCTTTCATTTTTAAATAAGGGACACATGTTTGATACCAGTTTATTTTTTTTCCATAGAATGAATACCTTCACTGAATAACTTCACAATGCTACCAACTGCCTTTCAAACTGGATTAATGACATTTAACTGCTATTACTCTGAGCACAGAGCAAACATGTTCTCTCAAACATCCACAGCTGCGTGGATGTTTGAGAGAAATACAGACAAGCCAGATGTAAAAGTTAGATTTGTTTGGCAGGTAATCACATTCGTAACACATTTACAGCAGCTTATTCAGCAGGTGGAGAACAGCGGTGAAAGCAGCTGCCGGCAGCTGATCGGTCACTGTGGTGAGCAGAGGCAAAGGACATGTTGGTGTTTGTTAGCATGCTGACTCTCGACACCATGTTTGGACACTTTATGTGCATTGAATGTGAAGATTTGTCTGAGAATGTTTAACTTAAAATTTTAAAGAAATGGCATCCCTGAAGCCATCCCCAAATATTCCACAGCCAAATGCAAGCTCTTCCTTTCGGGGTGGGGGGAAGCAGGGCTTGTTGTCACTGATGTTTACACTTACGTAAAACTACCACAACGATTAATAATCAGTACATGTCATTTATTCATTCTTTGAAAGGAGAAGAGACTTGTTCAAACAACAGCTTCTAATAGTTACTATAATTTCTGGGACTTTCCGAGTGTAAATAGAAGATGCTTTAAAGTGCAGTGTGATTGCGTTTTGTCCTCCGCAGCTTGTGAAGTCTAATTATAGACCAATGACACTCTTCATGAAGACAAAAGAAGCATTGCCAGACTGCTGACAATACTCTGCAATAGGAGCACAGAATGCAGCTTTTGAGGTGCCCTTGTTGAAAGTCAGAAATGCACAAAATAAATCCACCAGCAGTCGACACAGAAACAGATGCAGGCACGGCTCGAGAGCTGTCAATTAGCCTAAAGAGTGCCTTATTGAGATAAAATGTGACACAAGCAGAGCAGGAGAATACGAAGCAGTAAATCGACTCTGGGGTCCATCGACTGCTGTCTTGCCGGTGCCGTGTGCTTGTCTCCATGTTTCAGTGACTGTTAACCAGAAATAGCTGCTGACAAATGAGAATTTAATGTCCTTCACACAGATCAGAAACTTTAAAGGGGATATAAATAAATGTGGGCTGCAAATTTAGGCAAAATTCTAAAAACACAAATTGACACAAATTTACATATAAGTCATGAGAGGGATGATAGAATAGATTGTCTCACGTGGATGCAGCTCATTATGTGTTTTGCCATCTGCACTTTTCAGTTTATGTAAATCAGACCTTTACCCCCCTGCCTGCTCCATTGAACTCATCAGATAATGTATGCGTGGATTGTGGAAGCAGGGAACACTGTCACTGTGGATTTGTTTAGACCAAAAATTGATCCATTTTCCTTGAATAAACGTGGACAAATGTCTGCCATGTGTCTGTGTGAATATGGTTTTAGGATGCGACAGACCAGTGGAGTTAACAAGGATGCTGTGTCAATATTGACACCTTACATTCACATGACATATTGTAGATTTTTGATCTATTTCTAAACAGTTTGCTCTCCACCACAATAATTACTCCTCCCCGTATTAGATGCTTAATTATTATTACTGACTAATTGTAATTAGTCAACAGTAATAATAACACACTGAGGTCAGGCAGATTCCTTTTGCATGGCTAAATAAAAACTTTAGCTAAACAGTTAGCTCCATTTTAGCTCAACATCAAATGTCTTGTTATTAAACTTTCAGTGAAATGGTCAGAGTCACCGACACATTTCAAACCTCTTCTGCAAAAAGCTGGAGATGTTTATTTATCTGCGTGTTATTTTTTCATTATTAATGAATGTATTTTTTTTGTCCGTCCTCTGCGCCTTTAAGGCTGCATGTGGTCTCGCAGCTCCGGCTGAGAGCTGTGGAGGTGCACGCTTTCAAAGTTTCACTGGGGGAATTGAGACAACGGGAGACCGCAGCGGCACGTCGCCCCGGCGGGAGACAGGAGCGCAACATCCGAGGAGGAAGAGAGACGGATCGGAGGAAGACAGAAGGACCGCGTCTCACTCAGGGGAGTGTCCGAAAAGAACAAAGAGAGAGAGAGGAGGAAACATGACAGAGCGGGTCCTGGGTTAACAGATGGGAACTAAAAGGAGGTGGATGTAACGCGGAGCTCGCTGGAAGGAAGGGAGGAAAGGAGGAGAGGAAGAGGGACTCCCGGGCCGGCGGCTGCAGCCCACCTCCCCTCAGCCATGCCGCCCGTATTCCGCTCTCTGCTGTTCGGCTTCCTAACGCTGCTGGTTGTGCTTTTTATAATTGATGATATTGCAGAAGTGGAAAAAGAAAGCGCGTAAGTAACCCAGCGTAATTCATCCAATCAGTGCATCCCCTCTCTCTGGGTGCCTATTGTTTGCAGCCCGGCAGGTTAGATCTAATCTATCTGGGCTGCGTGGAGGAAGAATCAATGAGGGGAGAAAAACGATGGGGAAAAAAAACAACAACACTCACAGAGCGAGTTACTTTCATGAACTGATTGAAGTTTGGAGTTAAATTGTGATCCCCCCCCTCCAGATTTGTAACAGTGGCGTGCAGCTGCTCCTACAGCAGCCCGCCTGTCCGCCCGGGTCTCCAAGGATTTGGCTATTTGTCTTGCAGCATGCGGGATGCAGGATACATTTCCACTATACTAGTGTGCATAGAGGCTTTGAAATTGAGAAACTGCATGTGTGTGTGTGTGTGTGTGTGTGTGGTGTGTGTGTGTGTGGGGGGGGGGTGTATGTGAGCGAGAGATTGAGCAGGAAGGAAAACCAGACTGCAAACATAACATTCGTTTTCTCATTTTATTTTCACTGCCAGATTTTGAAATCCTGAGCAATGCAGTAGAATCACTCCACATCACATTCCCCACATGTAGGCTACTTCACCTTCAATAAATCTTCTTTTTTTAAATTTTGGTGGTCATCAATAATAATAATAATAATAAATTATTTATCCCTTTTACTTTTTATTGACACTTTCTATTCCTCACTTTTTATTTTCCCTTCACCAAGAGCATTTCTTGTTTATCACGTGATTACCTGGCTGTGGCACATTTTGTAATGAGGTCACATTGGTCTGTGATTCACTGAGGGAGATGAACCAGAACCAACTCTGCATAAATGCAGCTTAATAGTAGATCATTTATAGGCCACCAAGACTGGAAAAACCATCAGGGAGTTCATCACTCCTGCGTTCAGACTGATTCTGTCGGATTGACATGGATTTGTCAGATGTGATCAAGGTCATGGTTTCTCAGAAGTGCCTGCTGGTGGAAAACCTGAGTGCACGTGTTGTATATTTACAGTAAATGCATGATGGAAGAGGTGTGTAGGGTCTCTGGAGAAAGCCTGCTCACTTCTCTGTGAAAAGAAAACCTCCCCTCAACTTTAATAAGGCTCCATTAAGGCCAGATTTCTCCTTATTACATCAGCAAATGGGCTCATGTGGGTTTCTCAAAGTGAAATGAAACCCAGAAGAGTTCTTTTCACCTTCACTCTCACTTCAGAAGCAGCAAATGCTGAATCCAGTCAAGACCTTGGATGTAAAAGTGTGAATATGAGCTGCCTGGAGTGAATTGTCATTCAGTCTAAATCTCTTTCCCACCCTCAGAAATATTGGGCTGACGAAGAAAACCAACGTTCACCAGCTCATTCCAAAACCTCACAGGTCAGAAATCTCATCTTTTTGCATGTGATAAGTCATATTCAGGAGCATCTCCCATGTACTGATTTTAATAAGTAATTTTCACAAAATAAAAGAAAAAAAAATCCACATAGGTTCATTTCAGTGTCTTATTTCAAGTACTCATTTCTCTTTACTTGAATGATTATGACTTACAACCAATGAAAATCCAAAATGTTGTTTCTTGGGAAACTTGAAGGTTATACAAGGTCAATAAAATAGTTTGTGTGTGTGTGTGTGTGTGTGTGTGTGTGTGTGTGTGTGTGTGCAGAAACACGGTATAGCTAAAATAAAGTCAGGGTGAAAACTGACCAGCACCCACCACAGTGAAAGTTAAGCCACAAAAGTTCATTGCCAAAGAAGCTGACTACATGTCAGCATACCAGTGAAAGTTTAGTGAAAGGTAAAATGCGTGGTAGACGAGGAGCACAAGCAGCAGAGATAACTGCAAGCCTGAGAGGATTGGAAAGCAAAGTCAACTCATGTTCAGGATATAGTCACAAAGCAAGAATTGTAGCTGGAGAGATAGCGACACAGAGACATATCCAGAACATGGGCCACAATTATTACATTATTTGCATTACTGAACCACAGACAACAAAACATCATTTGCTGTCCCATCTCCCTTGTATCTAGTTTGATATATTTACATTTTATGAGAAACATAATTTTAGGTTTTCATTCACTATAAATGATACCCTCCAAAACAAGAACAAATACAAGCTTGACATATAAGTTTCTCTTTTTGAACTGACTTAAATGATTAAACTTTTAAATGACATTCTAGTTTATTGAACTGCAGATGCCCACAAACCTGTAGACCCCAGCTGGGAGCTGAATGGTCCGTGTGTGTGTGTGTGTGGGGTGTGTGTGTGTGTGTGTGTGTGTGTGTGTGTGTGTGTGTGTGTGTGTGTGTGTGTGTGTGCGTGTGTGATGTTTAAGTGTCCTTTGCGGCCTTGACAACACAGTGAGTCATTGACAGTGGGTGTGTCGTAACTTTTTAAAGCAGCTGATGAAAATATCCAGCTATGTGTCACGCAGCACTGTCAATGAGATACATCTGCAGGAAGAATAATGGTGAATAAACTTTAGAATTTTTCATACAGCAACACTTCAGTTTTGAATGTGTCAGAAACATAAACTGACCGCTATCAATATCCAGACATATTAAGACGATAAGTGGTAGAAATTCCAAGAATAAACTGAACAAATATGCTTGAACTACTCAAAGGAGTTAAAAGAAGATCTCAAATGCTTATTTAAAAAAAATAAAATAAAATAAATATTACAGTAAAAACATACTGCATATCAGATATACAGTGGTGCCAGCTTCTCTGAATATGATTGTGCTTCACTTAAAGTACGGTCTATTTTGAACAAAACTACTCATGGCACGACAGGAAAGAGAAAGAGCCTCAGATTTTGGGTTAATATTTCTGTATTCTATAAAAGCTATAAAACCAAAGCAACACAGGGTTCGCAAAAATATATTTTATCAATATTTAATGTTTTGTCCAACATGGAGACCTGTTTTGGGCCTGTGACGATAAAGAACAGCTACATAATTTGGACAGAATAACCAGACTCAGTTATCAGACTTGTAAAGGTCATTGTTTTCCTTCCTTCCTTTAACTTAGAAAGGCGGCAGCACGCACACAACCAACTGCGACAACAACAATCGGCAAATATCCTTATCCTCCAACCTGTAACGGCACCACCAAACACTCATCAAACAGTTGGGCCTTTAACAAGACACTCTCCAACCTCATCAGGTAGGTTCTGATTCCTCGTCACGACTTTCCTCTTCAAGGTCCGCTGAGACGAGTCTTTTAACGAAGGCCTTGTTCTCTCCTGTCCGCAGAAAGAATATTCTCAGATTCCTCGATCCAGAGAGAGACATCTCAATTCTAAAGGGCACGCTGAAGCCAGGAGACATCATCCACTATGTGTTTGATCGTCAAAGCACCACAAACATCTCGGAGAATCTCTATCGTCTGTTGCCAACCGCATCGCCGATGAAAAACCAGTACCACAGGCGCTGCGCCATCGTGGGGAACTCTGGGATCCTGCTGAACAGCAGCTGCGGACCAGAAATCGACTCTCATGATTTTGTTATCAGGTGGGGAGATTGTGTTTTTTACGCTAAAAGGGCATTAACTGAAACGTATTAACCCAAATGCACAAATATGGATAGAATAGACTTGTTAAATAGTTTTCAGTTCTCTAGTAGCATGATGTACTTCCTGGGGAAACTCTTGCTCTGATTTCCAAACAGGACTTTTTGGAAATCAGCCTATTCTGTGTTTGTGTGATTTATGTATCATCATTTCTATCTGCCTCTGGAAGGAAAAATACACCTGTTTTCAGCTTTGCTGCGATAGCAAATACAAAAAAATGTGATTCTGGACAGAGTAGATCGGATCTAACAGAACATGCGGAGGTAGCGAAAAACTCCCTCTCATAAATCAGCCACTTTCAGTGATGGTGCATAAATAGAAAAGCAAGCAGGATGACAGCTTCAGATTCTGTGTACACGTTTACTGTGTGCAGACACGGACTCTGCTGCCTATATATACGTCCTGATGTGGAGGGGTCATGGTTGCTCTCCAGCTGCATGATAATAATATCAAATCTTTGTGGTAATCATTGGCTGAAAGCAGCAAACAGGAAATGTATCGTTTTGAAGAGCTAAGGAATTTGGTTTGGCACTCACACATGAGATGAGAAGATAATGTCTCAGCTAAATATAGGTCTCTGCCTTCGCTTGGTTTCTACAAAGTAGGTTGATGGTGTTTGAGGTATCAGGTACAGAGCAGTAACAGTGTTTGCATACCAATTTCTCCCCCAACAAGATGTCTGGTTGAATATTAAGAAGGCTTGAAACAGTACAAGATTACGTAAATGTTTTCTGTTAAAAATAATTTTATTCATTTAAAATCTCGTTTTTGAATATTTATGCATAAATCTTAATGCTTTTCCTACACGTTGATATGTTTTAAATTGCTAAGTTGTAGTGTAAGAAGATGAAAACAAATGATAGATTGGTTAAAATAAAATAAATCAAAATTAAAATAAGACTTCGAAATTCTCCATTTTAAGACTGTGAGAATATTTTCTGTGCTGACCCTCCTTATGGTTATAGTTACGATTTGATATCAAGTAGAGAGTTTTGTGTATTCATCTTGCATAGTTATGGTTACAGTTACTTCAAAAAACCTGCTTGCATTTGCCAAAGAAACTGACTCCTCAAAGCAGGCCCCTCATGAGAAACATTATACAAACCAAGATATGAAACCGTTTTATTTGAATCTAACTAAAAATGATGTGAGCCTGTACGTGTCTGTTTACTTAGTCTTGCTTTTGATTTAATCTGGTCATTTCTGCAGTTTCCTCGCTCTCTGTTGACGAGATGTAACATTTCCCGCTGTCAGATTCAGCAGCACACAGACACGCACAGAAACATTTACGCTCAAATGACTACCTTGTGTCAGTTTTTGCCACAGTAGGTGTCACCTGGAGCACATTTTGCTATGATTGCACGCCATGGAAATCAAAAGGTGAGCAAAACACCAGCCTCAGAGTTCTGGCTGGGAGCTGTGACTAATTACATCATTTACCCACTGAGATAATAACTAGTTTAGAGTTCTGGCATTTTCCTCAGAGAAGAGGCTAGCTTGGTTGTGCTTCCGGAGCACAAATTGGAGGAAAAAAAAAAAAGACAATAACCTTGAAAAGCTTTTTGATACTGGTTTCATTTACAGTCATAGAGAATCAGCTTTTTGTTTCTTCTTAAGGTGCAACCTGGCCCCTGTGGAGGAGTATTCTCAGGACGTGGGCCGGCGGACTAACCTGGTGACCATGAACCCCTCGGTGGTACAGCGGGCCTTCCAGGACCTGGTCAGTGACGAGTGGAAGGATCGCTTCCTGCGGCGCCTGCAGAACCTCAGCGGCAGCGTGCTGTGGATCCCGGCCTTCATGGCGAAGGGCGGGGAGGAGCGTGTGGAGTGGGCCCTCCGCCTCATCCTGGTGCACACAGTGGACGTGCGCACGGCGTTCCCGTCGCTGCGTCTGCTCCACGCTGTCCGAGGGTAAGATGAGGCGCGAGCACAGCTGCTGCATTTCGCGGGAGCACCTGTGAGCAGCATAATCAGGCATGTTGGCAAACTCTAATCTGCAGGCCCAGGTGGCTATTTTTAACCTTACAGCTCATCATCAGAGACAATCGGCGAGGAAACCGTCTCTTTTCTTCATCTTGGCTCCAACTCCTCTAGTTATATTTGTTTTCTATAAAATCAGTCTTTTGTTTGTCGTCGTTAATGTCCCTGTTGTTCAGAGATGTTTGACATTTGGTGCAGCATGCTTATTTTCTGTACCATTGAAGAAATTGATTTTTCCGCTTACGGTGCGTTTTAATCTGGAACTCACAGGCAGTCACCAGACAAAACCAGTCATTTGGAACATATTTTTTGCCATCACCACTAATTTAACTCACAAAAATATTCAAAATTATTATCTCTTTTCACAACCATAAACCTCCGTATATTTCAATGGGATTATATGCAATAGAAAGGTGCAGTATTGTGAAACATAAAGAAAATAATTCATGATTTAAAGATTTTTTTTACGTTGAATATCTGAAACTGTGGCATACATATGTGTACACCCCCTTCATTCTCAACACTCTTAACAGCTGTGCACCTTCTGCTGGCAAACTCACTCACATATTCAACACAAACAAACACAAACAAATTCTTACCTGCCCCATACACACATCAATGTACCAACACCAATGATCCAAATGATCAAAGGTCATACTAACACAGTATGACCTTTGACACACCCATAATAATAACACAGGTTACTATTACAGAACAGAGGTTGAAATGTTGGATGCAGATTTGATTTAATTTTGTCTAAAGATCTCAGTTTTGTTGTGGCACATGAAGGTAACCAGCTTTTCTATGTGGTATACCTGGAGTACTTAGACAAGACACATGGAAAATAAACAGAAATTCTCTAAATGTCTAATTCCCCTGAAGCAATAATCTGTAAGATTTAGTGACACCCAGTGGTCAAATAAAATATGGCAGCTCACTGAATATCCATCGAATCTGTACTGCTTTTCTGTTAAAATTTCCCGATTATCCCCAAGAGCCAGAATTTGATTTTTCACAGACATTTTGGCATACAGCATAATTACAGACTTCCATTAAGAGGGAGGAGTTTGTCCGACCTATCATGAAAGTCCAGTGTTTGGAAAATGCTTTCAGAGTTGCACATTTTCACTTCTTACCTCAAAGTCTTGATTAATAAAAGCTTTAGCTTGAAAGATTCAATCCTGGCTTTGATTTCAATCTAAATCAAAGCATCAAAACGCGCCTTGCCATGTAAAGGTTGGGTCAGGTTTTGTGAAATGTGGGCTGAAGCACAGCGCCAGTGATTTCCACAGAGGCAAAGCACTCAGATGCTCTGACTTTATCTTGGTGGGAAAAAAAAAAAAAGCAGCAGCAGGATGCAGTGGATCCTGTCGTCACTAGGAGATTGCCAGGCAACCGGCAAGAGATGCGGGATGAAAGCTTTTGACAGATAGACCTCATGTTGTCTGTCCAGTTCACACCGAGGAAGCCAGCAGCAGACAGTTGGCTTTTCACGTTCCTGTTTCATTGAGCTGCAGCTGAAATCCGATTGTCAACCATATCACTTTGTGCGTTTATGTGCTTCTAAAAAGATTAGTCTTAACTATGCTTAAGTTATTAATAAATTTGTGTTTTTCTGTTTGCAGAAGCTTTCGGAGGGATCAGGATGAAAATTTTAAATCCAATTAAGCTTTTCTATTAGCCCATCTATTTAATCAATTAATTCATAGCTGCCATTTGAGTGCAGACACTTTTTTTGAGTGCAGACACTTTTTTTCTACACCTGTTTCCTGGAGAGTTATAAAATCCATCCATCAGTCTTTCCAGACTTTAACCAGAATCCCCCTCAGCAACCGTTTTCTTCCGCTCTCTGCTTCTTTGTTCAGCAAGACTCTGCTCTGAATCATTCCAGCCTTGTTAAATGCCTAACCTCTTCTGCTGGTCAGTGACTAAATGATGTCATTTTGTCTGCTCCAACTAACTCTCTGTATTAGAAATGCATTAAAAATAAAACATAAAAAAAACACAAGCTGGACTTTCTGCTCCATGCTCTTATAATGAAATAAAATTTTTGCTGCAACATTTGGCCTCCTCATAGCTCAATATTAAAATGAATTTCTGTTAACATCATCAAATTGTTCACTAAAAGTAAATTTCTTATACATTAACATTTTAAAATGGTGTGGAGAGACTTCTGGGAGAGATTAAGAGGGCAATATCAGCATCAAGGCCAGACTCGACTAGAATGGGCTTTTTCAATTAGAGAAGGGAAAATGAGACCTTCTGTCGCTAAAGTCGCTGCCACAGAATATTGTAGAATATTACGATCAGAGTGAAGCTCATCTAATGATGGAATCAGCAATCATCCAAAACACTTCCAGTGTTTGTTATTTTATATAGAAAAGAAATGCAAACAAAGAAATGTTTGAATTAAAAATTATGAAGGTGAAATCACCTCAGAATTCCCCTTCAACAGCTCACCATCTGCACCTATGAAATTCATGAGGCATTATGTCAGGCTTGTTACTACGACGGTTAAAAACAAGACACGTCACTTTCCAAAGGTCTACAATAAACCAGAAAAGCCTTGTCCTGAGTTGCTTTTTTAAAACAATGTCCCGTTTACATGGCAGGCAGAGAGCTGCAGCAGCCGAAACGGTCTCTTATTTTGAGAGGCTCACTAGCAACAAATTCACACTAGCAGTCAGGAACTCAGAGGGGAAAACCCAGACTCTTTATGTGAGTGATGTACAAACGTTTTGCCACTTGAATTAAAACCTTCAAGTTTAAAGTGGATTTATTAACTGTTTAAATATAAACTAAAGACACAATATTTCAATGGGTTTCTTAGAAAATACTTGCTTTCTGTAGCCATGCTTACAGAACAAGTGTGCCAAAGTGACTAAAAGTTTGTGGTACAGTTTGTCATGCAAAAAACATTGTTAATGAAAGCTAAATACTTTATGAGGTACATAACAGTGTTTTTATTTATTTTATTTAATTTGTCTGCAGGCATGAAATCACATATGTTAAAACAAGCATTGTGTGTTGGGTTTTATTAAGATTTTTTTTTTTATTATTATTGGGACATCCCTAGTTAAAAGATAAATAAAACAGCTTAAAATACTGTAAGTTGTAGTGGTTAAATCTTTTTTCTTTAAATTTATCTTAACGTCCATGGAGCAGTGATTAAAAATATCAAAACAGTTGTGCTAACTTTTAAGCAGATAAGTTGAAGTCAAATGAATGCTCTGTTTTTCCTTAACTTCCTGCAACTAACAGCTGCTCCTGTTAACAGGTACTGGCTCACCAACAACGTTCACATCAAACGTCCCACCACTGGCCTCCTCATGTACACCATGGCCACTCGCTTCTGTGAGGAGATACACCTCTACGGCTTCTGGCCATTTCCTCTCGGCCCACAGGGCCGGCCAGTGAAGTACCACTACTATGATACTCTAAAGTATGAGTACACATCCAGCTCCAGTCCTCACACCATGCCCCTGGAGTTCAGGACCTTGAGCACTTTGCACAGACAGGGGGCGCTCCGGCTCCACACGGGAAGCTGTGATCTGGACCGAGGAGCACAGAAAGATCTCAGCTGAAGCCATGATTCTGACTCCGCAAAACATTATTGCTTTTCGGGTAAAAAAAAGCAAAAAAAAATTTCTGATCAAAATTGAAGGACAAATTGAATGGGAACACTGTCAATTACAGCCTTTCGTATTGACTCATTAAGCGTATTTTACCTTTAATGAGATTTCTATGGCAACCGATATCTCTTGGGGGTTTACCTGTGAGCTTCCACAAATGCAGCAAATGGTTTGTGTTTTATGTCTGGGGCTACAGGTGTAGAGAAGACACTAAAATGGGCTATTTTTCTGCTGTTTTAAAGAAAAAATGACTCTAACTGCATTTTAAAGTGAACTATTTATATTGTAACACAGCAGGTACCTGTACACACAGGAAAAATCTGTCACTTGTTCCCTGCGATTCTGAATTTATACAATACTGTTTGTAAAGCAGACATTGTTTTTTTTTTAATGAAAGCAGAGGGATGATAGAATGTCTAAGAGGTCATTTTAATACCAAGTAGTTCATAATCTGATGGACTCCATTAAATCAGTGATCTTAACTCTGACATGTCCGCCGCATGATGAGCGGCTGCTTGGTGGCTCTTGCGATGTCTCGTTGGGCCACAAGATGGAAGCACTGAATAATCAGGGACAAGAATGTACAAAGTTCTAATCTGAGCTGCTTTGTTTCTATCATTCTTAAAGAACTTTTCTAACTTCACATAAAGCACCTTAAATTCCAGTGATCCCCAGTGAACTGGAGCCAACATTTGATGAGGTTGCCTTGAGAACCAAATGACTGGATGGAAGCATGCGGTGCTGTGTGTACCTCCCGTGAGGATAAAGTAGCAGTGCGCCAGCTGTTCACATGCAAATGTTTGCTCAGCCAACACTAAACTCATTTTGCAGAGTTTCCTCGAAGTTTCTGCACTGGACACGTGAGATATGCAAGTACAGGAAGTTGTTTGCTGTTAGGAAGGCGAGCTTAGCATTTTAAAAAACATGAATGTATCAGTGACTTTCTTACAGTAAGTGAACCATAAGAATGTGCTTTAAATTTATCTGTAACTGAAGATGTTCGGTGCAATAACCCTCAAACAAGGTAGAGCATTAAATGGACGTGACTTTTTCTTGTATAGGAACTTTTGATTAATATTAAACCAGTATTTATAGAGAATGATAGATTTATTAGCATATTTAATTGTAGCTGACACTGTTCTGTGCCTATAATCAAAAAATGCCAATGTATTAAAAGGACCACCAACCTACATGTTTGTAAATACAAAGTTTCAGGATTCATGACAAAAATTGTCCTACATACAGCTTTGGCCAGAACTAACAGAAAGTTAGTTTGAATGTGAGATTATTATTATTATTATTTAAACATTTTTTTCAGGGTGGAGTGATTATGCATCATCCAACTATGATAAAATATAATTAGGTGCACAAATTATTTTGGTTATGGATTTTCTCTAATTTATACAAGGTCATAAGTATGCATGCTGACTCAAATATATGTAAATGCACCCACTATTATGTCAATAACAGCCCACCAATCTGAAATCCCAACAAGGTACCGAATGACCAAATTCCCTTATTTTAGCCGTCAGGAAATTTCGACAGAAGCTTAGCAAAAATAAAAATTTGTTTATCCAACAAATTCTGCATTGTTAGAAAAACAATTCCAAATTGTTTGCCTAAATCTAATCAATTCAAAAATAAGTTAAATTTTAAATCAATTAATTGGCTGAAGTTGTTCCATAAGCTTAATTTTTATTAAGCTGGTGATTTTTTATTTATTCCAATACCAGTGTTAATGTGTGCTTGGACACTGTAGTAGTCGTGTACATGGCCGTCATGTTGAAGTTTTCACCACTTATAGTTGGTAATTTGATGTTAAATGCCCCTTATTCTGAATGAAGAAAATTCACAGTAAAGTTGTGTGCAAAAATTCTCTTTTTTTGTCCCTTATAAAAACAATGTTGTATAAATGTTTCACCCTGTAAAAAGAGCTCTTTAAATAAATCATTGATAGTCCAGAATGAACGGAAATCAAGACTCACTCCCCTCTGCGTCTGTCTTGAGATTTCTGTAAAGAAGTAAACAGACTGTATACACACAAATACGCAAAAAAGTTCAGACTTGAGGGCTGACATTTTCTTTACGTCACTAAGTATTTATTGTAATGGCTGTACAGCGAAAAAAAAAAACATTTTGTGGCCTGATTAATACTTTTGTACTTCCCCTGATGTTACGCTTCAGCAAAAGGTTTGTAGAAGCTGTTTTTTGTATTCCTAGTAATCAATTTGTGCATTTTACTGCAACAAAAATGCTCCCATTAAAAAGAATTAGTGGAAGCATTTGAAATATTCCAGGACCTTCTCTGCAGCCCAACAAGATGCCTCTCATGCGCTCGCAGTCATGTGATTTTTCTCTGTATAAAAAAAACAAAAAACTGTTTTTTAGAGAGCTTTTTGACTAGATGCGACTGCTTGCTCGCATGTTGGCCTTATTACCTCGCCAATTAAGTTAAGAATAGACATGAAAGTTGCACCGGAGACGTCAGCAGACTGGAGCAATGAAAGGTTTATTTGTGAGAGGCTGTCTGAGGTTGGCAAATATAGAAACATTCTGTGACCAATGCTATTAGGGTTAATTAACCCAGAATCTGCAGCTTGCCACAGTTTGAACACTTTCTATCATGTTGTTCTTCTTTGAATGATGTGGAGATTGTGTTTTGTTACTTTTTCCATCATGTACAGTGTCTGTCATTTTGTATTACTTTCTGAATCTTGGCAAATATTATCTTTTGCATGGTTGTCTTGCCTTGTGCGCGTTTCAATGTTTAGTAGGACTTATGGACACTTGGACTGCTCAGTTGTGACAGTGTGAATGTAACAAAAGATCCAGACTTGGAAATATTCGAGCCTCTCCCTTTAAAGAGTCAACACTTCAAAAAAGGTTTTATTCCAGTAGTGTTGTAAAGACATGGAAACTGAGGGAACAGACCGGTTTACACACAACATCTGTGTCAAACTTGTTTTCCAGAAACTTATAAAACTATTTAAACATCTTTTTTTAAAGTCTTCACAGCCACAACTGATTTGTTTTAACAAGAGTAACTTTGTGTAGCAGATGACTCAAAACTAATAAATGTCTATAATTAAGATCTCTGCATGAGGATTTTTCCACAATTTTACACACATGATATATATGAAAAAGAAAAGATTACATGACAATAGCAATGGTACAAGCCTGAGAGACATTTACCTGTTTGCCAGATTTCTGGTCATAGAGGAGAAGAGTATGATTCAAAAGTTAAAAAAAAACAACAACATATGAAGTGGTCATGCACATTTTTGGAAACTGAAAAATGATAATATCCAGTTTACAAAAGATAGACTAAAGAAGACATTCAGCATAGGTCTGTATACATTTTTGGTCCTATGAGGATTAAAACAGATTGAATTTTCTCTGAACATGACAACAATTTTCTTGAAGGAAAAATAAATCAGATTAGAGTTGGTCTTAGCAGAATTTGATTTAAGCCCCTCTTTCCAGTTCACTTTATTTAAGTAAATAAAATTGCGTAAGAAGAAACAGCAAAATTAAACTTTGACTTAGATAATGATCAAACTTTTATTTTTCTTTATGTAATTATTTAAATCCTGAAGAAATTTAACTTCAAAAATTAGTACTTTTTTCAAACTCTCAAAAGGTTTTAACATTTATACCAATGCTTCATCCAAATAAAACATTTGCTTAGATCAAAGAATTTTGTCAAAGTCAAGTTGAGGGCTTTGTTATTGCCAATCAAAAGAGCAGTGGGACAGCAGTTGTGATGCTGTAGCTTCTATTACAGTATAAACCGAACTAAAGGCATTCCCCTCCATCTGAAGCATAATGTTGGCAATTGGAAGTGGTACCATCCAACTAACCAGTTTATACCTTTCTTACTACATCTCATATGCATGGCAGCCATATTGGATATAAGATATCTAGTTTTGAGATCAATTTTCACTTTAGAGGGCCCTCTACTGGTTTGGGAGCAGCTAAGCAGAAGCTGAGTCTCCATTGTTAAAGGCTGGCTCTGGTGCGCTTTCTATTAGACCAAAATTCTGTTAGATGTGAAATGTTGGTGGCTGCATGGTGTGCTATCAAGTAACAGCTTGAATTAAAATAGAAGGTCATCAACACTCACGTCAGCTCTAGAAACATATCCAGAGTCAGTTTTGTTGAATATTGTGCAGAGGAGAAAGTCTTTTGGTAGATTTTGCACATTTGGATTACATTTCTAAAAGGATTTTAGCTCGGGAGGTTCATTGTTAAAGGTGTATTTTTGTTTCTAAAAACATTTTGGATAAATGGAAATTGTATAAGCAAGTGTAGCTAGCAGCTTGAGCTGGTTTGTGTTTCTGTAAGCTGTAACTGTTCAAACAGCACATTATTTATGGACGAGAACAAACCCAAGAGATTAAACTCAACTAATAGCTTTCAAAGGAGGGAGACGCTTCATTTTTGACCAGATATTTGCAGCAACCTTTATAATTATCAGTATATCCATGGTAGAGATGGGTAAAAAGCCTTAAAACAAAGTCATATTTTCTTGCGTAATCTCGAATCCGCTGAGGCAAAAAAAAACATCTTATAAAAATTTGTCCACTTATGAAAATTAAAACCCATTTGCCTGAGTTGAAACGTATGCTGCCTTGTCATTCTTGTCATGAGGAAAATGAAATCCATATTCCAACATATTTACACCCAAATGAAGCTTAAAGTTTCTGACAACCATTTAAAAGTTCCACTCTGATTAATTTTAAGTCACATATGGCACAAGACCCATTTTAAAAAAGGGTGCAATTAAAGCAGATTGGCTTTAATTGTGTGCCTTGCATGATGTCTCTCAACCAAATACATAAAGAAGAGCTTGCAGCTTTTTATTTTGTGAAATTCTGCAAGTGAGATCCATAGCTATTCTGTAGCGCTATAAATTTCACTTTCAGTACATTTAACATTTTTTTCTCCTATATTATTGAAGTATACTCATGTTAAAGAATATTAGTTTGAGAGGATTTTTATTCTCTGAAGTGAGATTATGCTGCTGCAGTACATGATACAATAATTTTCAGGCTTGTTTTTTTTGCATCCCTACGATTGACACTAACAGGAGTGGAGAGAACCTTTATAGCAGTCTTTTACTAAACATGGCATATTTTAGGATCCTAAAGAATGCTTCATCTTGTTTTGGCTCTGTAACACTGGCGACATGTTGTCATGGTGTGTCATGGTGTTTAATCGTTGAACCCGCTGCGTTTCCTGCACTCTTTATGACAACCATTCACATTCATAGCAAACAGATTTAAAGAGACATCCTGAGAGTATTCCTAGGTTAAAATTGACAACACTGACTGACATCAGCTTGATAGCAGCAAAATGAAACTGAATCTGAAACAACACAAACACTGCAGACAGAAACGTTAGTAAGCCTTTAACAGTACATATGCACAATAAAGTGGTTAGCTGGCATAAATAAATGGGATACTGAAACTCAAAAGCCTCTTAGGAGGTTTATAGACAAAACAACTATCCTGCATTATATTTTGTGCTTCTGATCTTTTTAAACCTTCACTGATAATTAATACATTTTTCTTCCAGTTAAGCCATTCTGAAAAACTTTGGTTCCCTCAACCTGCACCTTAACATATTGCAGTTCAGGTTTAAAAAGTATGTCCATTAAGTATTAAATTCAAAATGAATAATTTTGTTTGTCCAGACCACTTAAAGTTTGGTGGATATGTGACGTGTCTTATTTTAGAAACACTGAGCAAGTCATCTAGACAGTGCGATAGAACCCTTGCACAACAAATAAATGACATCTGTTCATTTTCAACGCAGGTAAAACACGAGTAGAAATCGCTGGCGTGACGACACTTGGACGGCAAAGTCACTGAAGTTTAGATGAGGTGGGGAAAAAAGGAGTTACCAAAACAACAGTTGCCCCACATGGGATTCACCTGTAATGAGAGGAGAAACTGTTCTTAGTCTGAGAGGCTTGATTCTTTGTGACACATGAACACATGATGAGAAGGAAGGAGGCTCCCGTCTGATTTGGAAGTCAGGAATGTCAGGTAAACAGGACGTCACATCTTCCTTTAAGGAAGTGAATTTGTGTGCGCTAGCTGAGGAACAATTGAAAGCGCGGAAGGGTGAAACCTAAAGTCAACAGCAAAGCTGAACTAAAACTTAAAAAGAAGCATGTTTATTTGAGTGCATGTTAAAAAGAGCTGACTTTAATGGTTGTCGGGGGTTATATTACTTTTCCAAACGTTCTCTGCGTAATTAAAATGATCCAGAGTAACAAAAGGAGGCAGTATGCCAAGAATTTTATCAGCAAACTTTAACAGTCAAAGCAGAAGTACGAGTTGCTTTACATGTAGGGAAACTCCACTGATAACACAAGAAAACTATTAGTAAAAAATAAGTAAGTGCAAAAAGTATTACAGCTTCAGTTTATTCTGGGTTTGTCTTCAGGTTTACTTTGTAGGAGGAGCATGATGTGTTTTTTGGGGGGGCCATTCTCACATTTCCATTGGGAAAAAAAGATCATGGCTTCTAAAACGCCTCAGTTGTGACTAACTTTTCTTTCATTGTTTCTTTGTTTATTCGTTTATTTAAATCAGCATGCCTTCTGAAAATTTCTCATTTGTACTTACTGAAACTCGGAGTGTGCATTTAAAAGCTACAGAATTTTTCTGTTTAGTTTTTTTTAATGTTGAAACAATCTGTGTATCCTATCATCTGAACGGAACCGACCTGTATTTGACATCAAAGAGGGTCGAGTCGTCTTCGTCATCATTCTCCTCGTTCAGAGGGGCCATCTCCACCCGCTCCGCCGGTGTGGTAATGATGTCGTACTTTCTCGTTTTCCTGATTTTTCGGCCAGATCTATGTGACAGAAAACATGCGAGAGAAACTTAGAGCACTAAAGTTAGTCAGAGCTTCTGTTTATATAAAACCATTTAATCACCTTCTTACCCAACCATACGCTTTCCTAAAATGGCATTAGGAAATTGCAGTAGCAAATAATGACCAAGAAAATCTACTAATCTTTCTTAAAAAAAAAAAAAATAGCATATCAATTTTTAGAGGGTTACAGTTTTAAAACTGCTTAAAATTTGCTTCATCCTGTTTCGTGAAGCATTTAGACTTAAGACTTTAGAGTTCTTTTAGTATCTCTGGTGTTTATCTCAGATTTTTTGTTTACTTATAGTTTGATCACCTTCATTGTGTCTATGAGAGTTTATCTGTTTTTAACCTCTGCAGAGCTCTGCACTCATAGAAAAGTTCAAATTAAGTTTGGTTGACTGACTGATTACAGTAAACTGTCTGCTGCGGGATCTAACCATCAGTCTGTTATTCTTATGCTACTTTATAAAGTGCAGAACCACACAAATCTATATTATCTACAATATGCAATTGGAAAGTATTACTATTCAACGTTTATTACATATTTTTGTTAATTTGTATATAAAGAAAAAACTATCTATTAATTGCATTATTATATTGTAACTTTATTTACCAATTTTATGTTGTGTTTCATTACTTTAGAATATTTTTTTCCTTCATTACTGTTTAAATACTACAGTGCAAATATCCTAATGTCTAAAAAAGTACACATGAATTTGCAAGAGCTGCGTGTTAGGCAACAGTTTTATTTACAACATGACAAACAGTTCTCTGTCATGCTTCTCTTTTGATTTAACAATTGATTGAAAAATCATCATCTACATTATATCTCAGAGGATATAAAACTGCCACAATAATTCCAGGTATCACAGTGAAAACAGTCCCTCTAAGCCTCAGAAATGGTTTGGGAGAAGCCTACCTTATCACTTTGATGACCAGGCATGTGATGAGCGCAGCTGTCAACACACAGATGAAAATAACGACGTTTTTCAGAGTTGGCAGGTAAGTCATCAGAGGGGAGATCCGGGATCCCACGGCACCGTGCGTGGCGTTTTTACTCGTCGGCTCATCGTGACCGAGGATGATGGACGTGGATGTTGAATTCTGCGTCGCAGATGAAGAATTCGGCGGTTCGCCGCTGATCAGACAGAGAGCCGCCGCAATAAAAGTTAAAGCAAAACTGTGCGTCACGAACATGATTAATATTTATAAGGGTATCAGAGGCTTCAATAGTTTTTTTTTTCGCTCTCTCTGTCTCTCTCTCTTTTCCCCCGAGCAGCAGCTGCTACATTATACACTCGTCAGATATCTATATACACCAAAACGCGCAAGGTGAGACGCAAGAATCCATTTGTGCGCAGGTTCAGGCTTCTCTTTAAGTTGTAACTTGCATGAGCTTCCGGAAGGTGTCTTCCTGTAGGTGAGTTATTGCAAATCCTTTCCCGAACTGCGAGTATGGATGAGGGGATTATCCGCCTCCGGAAGGGCTCTGCGGGCTGGCCCTCTGCTCCCGGTGCTGGAGAGGAGAGTTATGTGGGCTGGTGCTGCCTTCAAGTCGGTCACGTGCATCCCAACTGCTGCTGAGCTGTTGCCACACACAGAAGAGTTTTGGTTGATTGAAAGCCTAAAACAACAAATAACACTTGGAAATTTATATACTTATAAAAGGCTTAATGCTTTTCAAAAAATTGTTCTTAAAATGTTACCTGAATCTTCCCACTTTGGATCAAACCTGACACAATGATACACTAATTCATTATTTTCGAACATTTCCCACTCCAAATCTTTCAAGCTTAAAATGCTCAAACTACAACAAAACTTTCTTTTTCAACTATTGGCATAAGTATTATTCACCTGCAGATGAGAACTTGAAATAGAGCAGTTAATGCTGATACAAACCAAGAGATTATTGTCTGGTTTTTGCGCTTTCCCGGTCATCTTGCTTTATGTGTGGTGACAAGAGAAATGCTTAGTCTTTAACCAGCCGCAATTTATGGTTGATAAAATAAACAGACCTCTGTAACATGCCATGTATATAGTTTGGGTAAACAGATAGTTGTAGATTACCAGTTATAAATTCCAACAAACTTTATTCAAAGGAATAAAGTGTGTTTGAACTTATAAGAAGTAAGTTATATCAATTTCAAATGGGTTCTGGGGGACAGCATTTTGTTAAAAATGTGTGGTTCCTTGTACTTGAACAAACTCAATATATATTTTTATTGTTTTCTTCTCTCTCTCTCTCTCTCTCTCTTTCTCTCTCTCTTGACATATAAATATATATTATATAACGTTTTAAACGTTATAAAACGTTGACAGGCGTTTAACAAATTTCCGGCAGCATCTGAATGCACCAACAGTGTAACCATTAGCGAGCAGAGAACAACACTGCTTCCCATGGAAGGAAGACTTTCAGTCCACGGTAGTGAAATTCTTTCATTAAATTAGAGGAAATCATAGACCGGTGTCTAGACAAGACCAATAAAGGTCTAATAATTGACCTGCGTCTATTGTTAAACAGTGCCAGATTTGTATTTATTACATTTGCATCACACTTTTCGATGACGTTCCCATTAATATTGACCGTCTCAGGTTGCCGTATAAGATGTTTTGTCTTCCCCAAACTATCTGTGCAATTTTCAGATTAGCGTAATGTGCTTCTTGCTTTAATTCAAATATGCAAGAAGCTTGGCGGTCCATTTGGAACGCTATATATTCCAAATAGAGTTTATTTTCTAACCTCGGCCACCAGGTGGCAGCACAAAATAATAATGCAACCAGCATTTTCCTGCGTCCTTGGCTTTGAACATTAAAATAGAAGTTGACCTTCCAAAGCTACAGTAATGAAAAGTAACAATAAATTGGCTAAAGGTGCAGTTTTCTGAAAGGCTTTAATATGATCAATTCTTTAAATTTTAGAATAACACTCCAGCACATGTACACATCTATCCACTTAGACAATAGTTCTTTTTATTTTATTTTTTTATAAAAAGTACTTACTAAATATTACAATTTGAAAGTACAGTGTATAGATATCAGGTCTACATCACAGCTAATTTGTTTCCAATGACCTGTTCCATAAAGAATGACAACATTTCTTCTGATACTACCTAAGGCCAAAACCACAAGCAAAGGTACTTCTCACAGTTAAAGCCACACCATCTTAAGCCATTGTGCCATTGTCGTTGTCATTGTTGTAGTAATATTTGATTCAGTTTTATCCAATATACACTATTAACACTCCTCTCCTCTGATTAACACTATGACTAATAATAGGTGAGGTAAATGATAAGGATCTTAGTATATCATCACCTGTCAGTGTGAAAGTTATGTAGACAGAACAAGTGTGAGGATCATGGCATCTCCTAAACTACAGCTCTTTTGTTCTCCACTTGTCAGTACATATCACAAAAAGACTAGTGGTGAACAGAGAGGGTTATGGAGGGCTCAGGGAGGTCAAGGTAACTTGTGCTTTTTTTTTTTTAAATGAAGTATGGCCTATAGTCATGAGACAAGAAGTTAATGCTGCTTCTGACAGAAAGGAGTCAAATTACTTACTGCACCACACTTTGTTCCAATTAGAACTGAAGACCCATCACGTTGCAGTCCTTAACCCACTGTGCACTGAAAGCACTATCCATGGGTGTACGAGTATGAGAACTAGAGAACAAAGTGATGGAAGAAGGTGGGGTGAAATGATTATTTGAAATTTCTTTTATACCACATGAATAGCCAGGTAAGGGAAGAATGTTGGGTGGCAGAAGTAGTATGATGCTTATAGCAAACATGAGATGTTGGTTTGACACATAGCTGTGTCAAACCAACAGAACATTCACATCCTTTTATGAGAGCAGTATTTCCTGATGACGGTGGCCTGGTTGTATCAGGGACACAACCAAAAATATATGTAGCTGATTTTACCTCCAAAGTTTCCATATCATAATGTAATGAAGCATCAATTGGATGTAAGTCTTATCCATGAAGACCCAAACTAATATCTTTGTGCCATTTCCTTCTGTATCAGGGGTATAAAAGAGTACTAGCCTCAAAAGGTCAGCGGGGTTTTACACTACTGAAAAGGTTGTCACAATACTGTGCCTCATCGGGACATGTGTAGCTGGTGGTATCTTGCTTTGTTTGCTTTAGCTGGCTTATACTTGATTGAAAAGGCACCGATCCTGTCACATTGTTTGAGTTGAGTAGGAAGCCAATAATAGTTCAGTTCAACATTACTCAGTACATTAAACAACACAGACGTTTTGATTTTGTGAATTTTGACACACTTGTTTTCAATCAGTTTTAAAAATTTAATCTAAAGATGTTTTATGAATTCAATGGCTTGTTGAAAAAAAAAATAATAAAGAAAACATTAGTGATGCAAGGTAAGAGTCAAAAAGGTCACCCATTGTTTTGAGAGGGCAAAAAATGTTTGCAGGGTGAAACAATCAACCTAAATGCCCAAGAATGCAGACCTTCCTGTTGTTTTTCGTGTTTGCAACAGGCTATGCAAGGCACGCCCTTTTGAAACAGAGTTCAGAGCAGTACTAGAGATAAAACGACTGCAGTTCCGCCATCGTTTCCAGGAACAAAAAAAGGGTAGCAGCATGTGCTAATGAGCCACGTGAATACTGAGGTTCACACAGTGGCTGCAAAGCTGAAGTCCACAAAGTTTCTGTTGTGGTAATGATCAGATTAAGACTATTTCTTCCAAAAAACTGAATGTAGAAGCTTTCACTACACGACTATAAGAGCTGCGTCAACTGCACAGTAGAAAATGTGTCCATCCAGAAACATCCATCAACACAAAAATGCAGCATAATGTCCCTCAGGACTCACAACAACCCTGAATTAAAATCAAAACATGTTTCTATGAGGAAACATTGTTTTACTATCAGGTAGTTCAATTTTAAATCTCCAAAATAACAATTTCAGATGTTTTTGTAGACAAGTCGGTGAAACCTGAAGTCACTTTACACATCCAAGCTCTCAGTTAGTACAAAGCAGTGCTCACATAACTAGTAGTGTCAGGATTTGTTCTGATTTTGCAGGGTGCTGCTGTTGCTAGGCTGGGGATCTTTTTAAAGAAATCTTCCACCGTGAGGAGCATGCGCTCTGATTCATGAGACTCATTGGCCAGCGATGGGGGAGGAGTACATTCCTGGGGCCTTCATAGACTGCTGAACAAAGGCTGCACTGACTGATCAGCCAAAGTTCACCAAGTCTTGTGAAATTTTTTTTTTATAGGACAGTGCAGAGTTTTTCTCTGAAAGGCTCAGGTTAATGAAGTCTGCCATAACACAGGAAGAGAGAATTTTATTCTTTGTGTGCTTTATTGATGTTCTTTATAGCATACAACTCTGATTCTACTTTCACAGATTATGCACCTGCAAATAAGAACATGTATTTCAAAAAACAACATCTTTAGTATTTCCCTAAATAAAATGTTTATGGTACATCTCCAGAGAGCTACCAGTAACTGGTGTTACATTGGTTTTGAAATCTGTATGGTGGCAAAACTATTCAAAAGGATATCATGAAATAAGGGCCAGCAACATCTTAGTCAAACTTGTTAACATTTCAGCTTGGACAACTCATGCTTTCATGTGACTGAGAAGTAAAATACAACCTGAAACTAGAATAAAGATGTAAAAAAAAAATCCCAAAGCAGTTGCTGGCTTAGTAAATCATAGTTGATATTGTAAATACTTGAAAACAGCTGAATATATATTACATGGTTTTATTGAAGAGACAAATGTCAGTGTTAAGGTGCATATCTTCATTTGCTCTTTAAAATCTTTCTGGGTCACCACATACCAGAAGGTGTCCTCTCAAAGTTAAATGACTGTGAAAAACCTCATCCTAGATATAACTCAAGTGAGTTGCTAATAAGAATTACATTGAAAGTAAGAAATCTAGTGACAATAGCAAATCTCTCTTAACCCCCAATAAAACATAGGACATGGTTATGGCCAAGAGGACATGCAGGACACAATACCCTAACAGCTGAAGGGCTGCAATAGTTTTAAAGCGAGAGAGGAAGATTGACCTGAATCAAAGCAAGCAACTTCCCAAAAAATCTGAATACATTCTACGACTGCATCATCTAGGGATTCCTGACTAAATTAATGTAGGTAGAACTGAGGCTCATTACCAAAGTAGTAGTCTGGACTGTCCAAGTACCACCCCTCTAAATCCCTGACTGCCCTAGATATCTATTACATGACTATTTCAGGTTCTCTCGCCCTCTTTTTTTATTCAGTCATGAAAAACGGCACCTAGTTCCTGCATATTCAGTTTGAACAAAGTTACTGAAAGCAAGTTCTGATCATCCCCAACCAGGTTTCAACCAAGACGTTTAGAATCCATTTTCTTGTGAACGCAATGTCCCCTATTTACTTTGGAACACAGTTTTATGTTCATGTGGAAGGAAGTTTAATATTTTTATACCCATTAAATGAAAATTTGCACAAGGAGACTGTTTACAAAATTCTATAAAGCAGAGTACAAAAAATTAATTCATTTCTCTTTTCTTAATTCTCTA